TTTTTGAAATTTTTTTTTTTATTAATCTTCATAACAAAATAAACAGTAGTTGATGATTCTTTGATTTTAGAAAACAAAAATATACGTAAAAAAAAATTAACAAATTTGTACTTATTTTAAACGCTATAATTTGCCGCCCGAAAATTACGTCATAGCTGTTATGGTAAGAGTGGCGAGAGCGCGGTTTGCGCGTCCTTATATTTTACATGCTTTTAGAAAAAGATGCCGATAAACTCAGTGCGCACTGATTGCCAAATGGAAATCTCTCAAAAAGTGGGGTTATGTTGAGGGTGCGCCTAGATGTAATGATACCTGACAGACGCTGATATATTTCTCTCTTTTGCTCTAATGAGTAAGTTTGTGTCGGATATCGGACGTAGGTTTGATTTAATTCATGTTCAAATACAACAGCTATGACGTAAAATAAAGGCGCGAAATATTTCCGTTTGAATAGTGCGTCTCAAAACTCTACTTTAACAACCGTTTTAAACAAAGTTAATAATTTTATCTGAAATTTCTTTTAATACGAATATCTTTTATTTACATCATAGATGAAGAATAGATAATCGATTTCATTGAAATTATACCTACCTTGTCCACTACCCTATTTCAACTTAAATCTAAACTCATTTAAATTTTTTAGCATGATCTGCAGCCTATGATATCCATCCCTGTTAAGTTAACATAATGAGCTAATTTATTGCCTCTGATGATGGGATTTACTAATCCCGGAACATGTAGGACCGTTTAATTTAAAACAAATAAAGTATTTGTGGAGGAAGATTTTAGAGTTTTTCTGTTGAATTAAATTTCAACTCCGCTTCGAGATATGGACTACTTTTATTTTTCTCTGTAAGAAGTCAAGCATAATTATATATTGATCTGTTATGTTATAACACAATTTATCACATAGGGTTCGATTTTCTGGTTACGATTTTAAGATTATTTTTAACATAAAAGTGATCCAGACAGGTCCCTGACATCAGTGACATCTCTCTAATAACTGGGATTATGTATGGCTAGGAGCCATATTGACCCAGATTCGTTTATTCGATAAACAGTTGATCAACCTCTAGTCCACACTATCCATGACATACACCCCACAATAATTTCACATGTTTTCAGGGATATAGTTCAAGATATAAATATACAGGGTGTCCCCGTTGAACTGGTCAAAAATGCTAGGGTATACCGGGTGCCCACGAGATCACTTTCCGGCTGCCATTTTTTTATTTGTTTATCGATATCAACGAAACTTGGTAGGAATGATATTCTAACCGAACGCCATCTTTATGCATTTATGACAAGTTTTCCTGACTTCCGGTTTCACCAGAAATGACCGGAACTTTTGATTTTTAAATGACACACCCTGTATATTTTTTGTTTTTCGGATTCTACAGATCGTTTTACGTCCTAATGCACTACTTTTAAATCGAGTTTTGTCCAAATTTTATTTTTAAATTAAATTTTAATTTTTGAACTAGAGTGCCATGATCATCCTAAAATGACTCTACATACTTTACTTAATTTCAGAAAAATACAAACTCAATTTTATCTTTGTAAACTTTTTTGATAGAAGGCTGTGAACTTCATTATTTTAGTATTTTTGCCCTAGCTCAAAAGCTAGAATAGAAACATATTATCACTTTCATAAATGCAGTATTTTGAAGCGAATCCAACGATATAATACACTACGACATTTTTCTTAATTTTCGTTCAAATATTTTTGTTTTATTATGTAGGTAATTTATTTTTTTCAATACTTGAAATTTAATTTGAAAACGAAATTTGGACAAAACTTGATTTAAAAATGGTACATTAGGACGTAAAACGATCTGTAGAATCCAAAAAACAAAAAATATACAGGGTGTGCCATTTGTAAATCGAAAGTTTCGGTAATTTCGGGTGAAATCGGAAGTCAGGAAAACTTGTCGTGGATGCACAAAAATGGCGTTTCGTTAGAATATCAAGCCTAGCAAGTTTCGTTCATATCGATGAATAAATAAAAAAATGGCAGCCGGAAAGTAATCTCGTGGGCACCCGGTATAGAGGAACCATAGAGAAGTAATTTGAGATGGGACACCGATGGTCGGAAGTGCGTCGTTTCGAAAATACAGGGTGTTGAAATTTAAACAATCTCCTTCCTCTCCTTCCATATCATCTGGAGGCCTAATGTTAGGCTGTTCAAATTTTCAGGGTCTTCTACTGATGTACGAATGATATCGAGAATGATATTGAAAAATTCGTATAATGCACCCCCATTTTCTACCTGGAACGAACCCACAAATAAAAAATAAAATTAAAAAAAAAAAGCAATTTGTTTCAAATTGTATTTTTTTTTGGGGTGGTTCTAGGTAGAAAATAGAGGTACATTAAACGAATTTTCGAATATCATTCTTACATCAATAATGCCTGAAAATTGCATGAAAAATGTTACATTGTATTGCCAACATAATATCATTCTTTAAAAAAAACAGACTTTAGCCTAGCATTAGCCCTCCAGATGATATGAAAGGGGGCTGTCTAAATTTCAACACCCTGTATTTTGGAAACGACGCACTTCCGACGATCGGTGTCCTATCTCAAACTACTTCTTTATGGTTCCTCTATACAGGGTGTCCCACAGTGGATGGCGTATTAGACGTTTATGGAGAACTAAAAAGCCGATCATTCTGAAAATTTGGCGATCGGCATAAATGACCATAATCTACACTTTTAAAATATTTTTGTTTATGCGGTGTTGCCGCTTCTACTCTAAACCAGTGGCAACATCGCTATTTTAAATAGAAAACCCTGTACGTAATTGCATATTTGGATTCTACGTAAAATTCTGAACAGATGTCATGTGATATACCCTATACCTAAGTTCAATTATTTTGGAAATATTGCCAGTTGAAAATTGACTTTTTGCAACTCTGACGGGCTGTAAAACCTAAACGGTTAATTTTAGGGGAAAATCGATTTTACATTCCTGGCTTAGATTTTTATAAACTATCATTTGACACCAACTTTGAATTTAATCCATGATTAAAAATTCCAATTAAATTTAATCTCCGGTTAAATTCAAAGTTGGTGTCATATGATAGTTTATGAAAATCCAAGATAGGAATGTACAATCGGTTTTCCTTTAAAATTAACCTTTTAGGTTTTACAGCCTGTCAAAGTTGCAAAAACTCAAGTTTCAACTATCAATATTTCCAAAACAGTTGAACTTAGGTACAAGGGTATATCACATGAAATTTGTTCAGAATTTTACTTAGAATCCAAATATGCAATTACATACAGGGTGTTCTATTTGAAATAGCGATGTTGCCTCTGGTTTAGAGTAGACGCGGCAACACCGCATAAACAAAAATATTTTTAAAGTGTAGATTATGGTCGTTTATCCAGGTTGCCAAATTTTCAGAATGATCGGCTTTTTAGTTCTCCTAAACGTCTAATACGCCATCCACCGTGGGACACCCTGTATACCCTAGCATTTTTGACCAGTTGACCACCCTGTACCAGGTGTCCCACTAAGGTCCTTACGGCTTACGGGATTTTTTTTTTCTTCACTAAATCGGCCAAGAGAAATTGATGGAAATTATTTTCAAGTTTCTAGGATGACCGCTAGGGGGCGCAATTACGATGATATAGCTAAAAATTCAACTTTTCTCAAGAAATCGCTATAATAAGATACTGTTTTAACAACAAAAATCAAAAGTTCATTAATTTTTGCGCCAGTTTGGTTATCAGGATTTTTTTCGTATCTTCAGTAATAAGGGTGGGGGAAGCTGGTCAAAAATTTTTTTTAGACATTGCTGTATCTTCCATACCCCTCATTCAAACTCATTCAATTTGGGTTTATTTGGAAGAGAATTTTATTGTTATTAAGAACACCACTTCGTTCGAGGTCGATAGTTTCCACCGCGTCTGCTAGAGGGCGCTGTTTATTCAAGATCCAGTTTTTCCTAATTTTCATGAAAAATCCAAATGGCATAATATTATTTTTGTATTGCTGTGGTTGAAGAGCAAAAAAATATCTACATTTTGGCGCAAACCGCAATTCAATATCTGCATTCGTTTTCAAGTTACGTGAGGTCTATGGTCTCCATAATATTGTACCTGGTCGACCTTAGTGGGACACCCGGTATGTGTAGATCACCAGTAAGTGAAATAAGAAAATAAATAAGAAATAAAATAAAATACAAATGACAGCAACGGCTATTGAATAAAATTCTCCTTCGATATATCGCGAGATTCCTTTTTGATAATTTAAATATAAAATTCCATAGATTGAAATAAGAGAAAATAGTCTAGGAGGCAGTGACGATTTTTGGTACTTATTTTCCTAGTCAGAAAACATGGATAGAATTGAAGAGTTAGTAATTCTAAGAAAAATACATATATTTTTAGGGGGGGTTTTCCGATGGGTTGAGGCGCAAAATGCGTTAAAGCTTACCAATGCACGGCCTTTTTTTTTCTCAGTGATAAAAATAGGTCTGCCAATGAGAGTATACTGAAGTTACGTAAAAAAAATAGTCTGGCTAATCTGTGAGTATGGATAATATGTCTGGCAAGTAAAAAATTGGAGATCCGAAAATTTTCAGCCAGACTCACTTTCACTATCTGAGATAAGCCAAATTGCTATTTTCATATACTTTATGTTCTATGTAGTAAATGTGAAATATTTATATCTGGGAAAATAAGCCTACTTGTATTTTTCATTAATCTTGTGAACCCATCCGAAAATTTTAGCCAGACTCAAAAATTCTTGCTTTGTATCACCAGGAGAACAAACTATTTAATCGGCACCAACTGGGAAAATAAGTGCTAAAAAATTTCACTGCCTCCTGGATTAAAATATTCTGTGCAACACGTTACAAAACACCGATCTGTGTAATTTGTGTCCTTTTCATTCGAAAACCACTTATTATCCAAAAATATTATTTGTAACTATTTACATAAATAGCTATTGTATTTGAACAAAATTGCTCAATGGATTCATTTTTTTTTTCTAGAATAAATTTGGAAAGAAGGCGAAACGAGCTTCAACAATGTTGCGAATTATTTGAACATTATATGGTGACTTTCAAAAATAAGATGATATCTAGTAATATTGCTATTAAATATGCCCGATTTTGCCTCATCATGCTCACTGATTTTGAAAAAGCAAAAGGAGTAAGTAATTTCCATAATTTTCAAATAATTTCAGGTTTCAGTACTTGAATACATCAAAAACTGTACTTTTGCAATAGGTTCTAAAATCAGCCATTGAAAAAGACCCAAACAACTCCCGCCTCTACCTTCAACTTATTGATTTGCATATGCAAAACAAGAAGTTTAACCCGAAAGATGTGTTGGAAGTGCTAGACGAATTTTTGGATAAAGAGGGTGTTGATCCGGATCAGAAGGTAACAACAATTTTTTTCTACAACATGCATACAAAGTGACATTTTGCGATTTGTTTTGACAACACAAAGTTGACTGTTTCTGATTACCAATCGATAAAAACTTTGTCGCTCGTTGCCATAGGAGACAAGCGACAAAGTATACTTTGCCAATTGATTGCAGGTTGAAAGCACCTAAAATGGCGGGAAAATAACCAGTTTGTTTTGAAGATTTATTTCAATTATAATTTTTTCAATTTTAATGGAAAATCATTCCATTGTTGTAGAAAAAATATTGTGTGCGATATGAGCGCAAAAGGCCCTTGTCGATTTCTACAATGGCTCATTTTGCGCTGTTGATACACAAATAACTATTCTCTTGTGGTATTTGTATATGAAAATATATATTTTTTTTTTTCCAAAATCGCATTTGATGGGTTTTAGGCGATTTTTGCCCATAGAAAACTTCTTTTCCTCGAAGATTACACTGATGATTTGGCAAGCGTGAAAGCCGCAACTGAACAATATCATAATTTGCTGCAAAAATCTTCGAAAAAAACAATAAAGAAAAAGGAAAACGCAGTTGATTCTGCTACGCCATCGAGTAGTAGGAAAAAAGCTAAAGAAAGTTCGTCGACTTCACAGTCCCAGGCTTCATATGGGAATGGCAGTTACGGAAATTCGGCTGGTCATCAGCCTCCATACAACTATTCTGGAACCCAACAACAAGGACAGTACAATTATCCACAATATGGGCAAGGTAAGTTCTGTAGTTGCTCACTTTTACTAAGTTATGTTTTTTTTTTTTTTTGAACCAAAACCAGAACTATGGCTATAATAACATCAGCTTTATCTTTCTAAGGGCTGGTTTATTCATCTTTTGATAAACAGTCAGGTATGCAATTTGACTGATAAAAACGCAATCTGTAATCCAATTGGTCGGCCAGTTATCCGCTGACCAATAGAAGTATAGAATAGTAAATTTATCTTCCAGATAGTTCCTAGCAGATTTATCTGAAGATGAATAAACCGGGCCTAAATATTATTGTTCGTTTCTCTGATAATGCATGATAATTTAGTTATGTAATTAGAATGAATGCCTTTAAAGTCTGTTAGGTATTTATTCCAGGCTACAGTAAAGTGCAACTGGGTACGTCGCCCGCGATTAGTCCGACGATTTATACATTTGGCGGGTGATTCGAATTAAAATTTTTCATCGATAAAAAGCTGCCTAAAGACAATTTGTGATTCTGCTCTTCCTGTAACTTACAGAAAATCTTATAAAATCGTAAATATTTCTGATCGGGTGTTTGTCAATCATCAATTCTTTAGGGTTATCAAGTAAAATCTCTGTACGTGTCCTCAATAATTCATGTTGGTATTTCCTGAACTTGAATGAATTAACAAAATACAGGGTGTCCCACGAGGTTTTTCCCAAATGATAACTTCGGAACGCATCATCATATATGTAACAAAACCTTAACAAATATGGTATTGCCGATTTTGTAATTTAATTTTCTAACGAAAAATGCCATAATATATCATGAGTTACATTTATGTTTCGAAAGTGGATGTTACTCAACTGAAATTGAAGCAAAAGTGATGAAATTGGATAACAATGGTAGAGGCGGCGTAAAAAGTTACCCAGATCCTCAAAATTTCAATTATATTGGATTACGCGTTCCGAAGTTATTACCTGGTAAAAACGTCGTGGGACACCCTGTATATTAAGTACCAAGTAAAGTCTGTTTTTTTTTTTAAAGATAATTCCCCAAGTCAAAAATTTAGTAACTATGTTGGCAACACAAGCCTTTTCTACATAAAAAATTTGAAAGCTTTGACAATTTTACATTGTATTGCCAACATAAGGTCATTTTGACTTTTATCTTTAAAAAAAAACAGATTTTACCTTATTTTCTAAGTTTTTTTGAGGGAAAATACTCCTGCTTTTCCATTTTTCTCTTTTTCGTTAGTTTCAAGTTTGCCTGATTGGCTTCTTTTACTGCTCCCTGAATATTATGCATAAATTTGTCAAACACTCCACTGGCCTCCAGCCATGGGTGTGATTATTTAATCTAGGCTTCCTAGCATCCTGATCATTCAAATTTTCCTCTTGTTGCTGCATACATTTTTCTTCAATGAAGTGAGCAATTTCTTCTTTATTTCTCGACTTTATGACAGAATTTCCTGCTAATGCTAAGGCACTATCATCCAACAAAGGGCTATTATTTTACCAGTTTGCTGTCCATACATTTTGATCAAATGTTCAGGGTCTGTCCCTTATAATTAGTGAGGCTTCTACAGCTTAAAGAAAAAAAAAATTGAAAAAAGTTAAATACAGAAGCTGTAAAAGTCTATTTAGCTAAAGTAACTTTTAATTCTCTATTATGAAATTGGCCGGTAGAGTTTTATCTTTAATATCTTTTGCAAATGTCAAAACAGACAAATGACAAGTGCCAACTGTCATAATGACAAACACTTGCATTTTCTTGAATGGAACTCCCTGTATATTTTTGGCTAGAATGATAAATGTTTTTTTCTTCTGATTCCAAATATACCATATATGCATTTATATTACCTTAAATTAAGTCTGTTCCAGGCTTGCTCAATGCAGGTTTAAAATTAAATAGTGCAAAAGCAGCTGCAGGCTGCAGCAAATATCAGCATATATGGTATATTTGGAATTAGTAGAAAAAATTCAATCATTCTAGCCAAAAATATACAGGGAGTTCCATTTAAGAAAATGCAAGTGTTTGTCATCATGACAGTGGCAGCTGTCATTTGCTCTAATTGCTTTTGCCAAAAGATAATAGAAATAAAACCCTACAACTTTTGTATTTAACTTTTTTTTTTTTTTGTTCAATTTGTTGAAGCCGCACTAGTTATAAGGAACATACCCTTTACATGATTACACATAGTATTCCTTACTTCATACTCTGAGCTGTCACATTTATAATATGTATGCAAATTTCACATACTCTACAGTACAGGGTGATCTATTATAAATGTCACCCCTTGCTAACTTTTCCATTTGATGTTTTTGACAGAAGTGTCACAAAAGTTTTAAGAAATTTTCAAAAGTTTTTATCTAAGTCAGTTTAAGGCATACAGGGTGCGTCAAAAAAGTACAGCAATGTGAAGTTATATTTTTTAAAATGGAACACCCTGTATATTGTGCGCCTAATTGTTAGTCCCCTTTAACCTGATTTCAACGATATAGGGTTTGATATGTTTATCTCTCGGCTTTTCTGCAATAGTTATAGGGAAAAACGCGAAAATCCTTTTCTAGGTCTTTCATGTTATTTTTTAAATAATAATAATAATAATAATCATAAAAATAATAACTTAGACATCTGAATAAAATTTGAACTTGAAACTTTGATTCCAAGGGGTTTTCATGTTTTTCCCTATAACTATCAAACCGTATATCGTTGAAATCAGGTTAGAAGGGACTAACAAATACATAAGCGTACAATATACAGGGTGTTCCATTCAAGAAAATATAACTTCACAATGCTGCACTTTTTTGACGCATCCTGTATGCCTGAAACTAACTTAGTTAAAAACTTTCGACAATTTCTGGAGGTTTTTGTATTTGACACTTTTGTCAAAAATGTCAAATGAAAAAGTTGGAAGGGGTGAAATAGATCACCCTGTACAATGTCCTGCAATTATTTTCACAGACTCCACTACTTTCTACATTACAGGGTGTCCTAGCCAAGAGTGACCAATTTTAAATGCACATAACTTTTAAACCAGGTATGCTACTTACCTGCGGTTTGAGCCATTTGATTTCTCTTGGGCCAAAGGTTTTTCTAGTAGGTTGCAAATTTTTTTTAAAACATACAGGGCGAATAAAAAAAAATCTGTTTTTCAAAATCGAAATTCTCCACTATTTTTAATGGAACACCCTGTATATCACTACGTCAAAAAATATATTCATTTTCAAGGTATCCACTTATGAATAGACATCGTCTCTAAGACTTGAAGTTTTAGCGTAAAAAATCAAAATCAAAATCTTAGTATTTTTGTCAACGCATATTCACAAAGCTTATGTATCCCCACATAAAACTATACAAAATGCTGTATATGTATATGTTAGCCATTCTGTTCCAGGCATTTATGGATCAGTAAATGGTTGAATGAATTGTGTTACATTTCCTGGAGAATCGCTCCAATGTCATTGCAAATGTTCCACTTAACTTCTTCCGGACTATTTGAGCAAAGGATTACAGTGAAAAAAGTCGGGAACTATCAAGTTAGGAGAGTAAGGTGTCCATCCTATGCGACCAGCTCTCCTTATCCGTCTTTCCTCAAATGTCATATCTAGTGATTCCCTTGCTATTAAAGAATAATGAGGTTGGGGCACCATCCTGCTGAAAATAAATATCATCCAAGATACCTTTCTGTCCTAACTGTGGTGAAAAAAAGAACATATCAGTGTATACAGTTTCTGTTATCGTTGGTTCATTAATAAAAATGTTCTGTATTTTTTTCCTAATAGAGATTGCACACCAAACTGTTACTGTTGGGGTATCTCTATTTAACGAATTCCAGAGAAAATTCTCGGTATATTTTTTTGGAAAATGTATTTTAACTTGATGTCTAACTAGACAGTTACAAAATTATTTGCCATAGTGATATCAAGTACCTACAACATGAAGTTGTATGTAAAAATACCAAGATTTCGATTTTGATTTTTCACAGCTAAAATTTCAAGTTTTAGGGACTATGTCTATTCGTACATGGATACCTTGAACATTATTCTTTTTTTTTTGACGTTATGATATACAGGGTGTTCGATTAAAAATAGTGGAGAATTTCAATGTTGAAAAATGCTTTTTTTTTAATTTGCCCTGTATAAATTTTCAAAAAATTTGCAAGCTACTTGAAAATACTTCAGGCCAAGAGAAATCGAATAGCGCAAACCGCAGGTATCTAGCACACCTGGTTTAAAAGTTATAAGCATTTAAATTGGGCCACTCTCGTCTGGGACACCTTCTATAATAATGATTCTTTGTAAAACATTTGACTAAAAATTTTCTACACTCTGAACCTTCAAATACTTCTATCTTTGATCATCTGTGCCTCTGCTTTTTTATGAGCTTTTGTAATGACTCTATCCTGATAGTTATTTAGCATTTGGTCTTTCAATATCTGTCACTCTTTTGATGTCCACCAGCTCTTCAATAGGGATGTTCACAATCATCAAATTATTAAGCATCGTTTCTTAAATAAATCTACAAAATTTTACGAAAATCAGAAAATTCTTTCTATGAGAAAAGCGGAGACGAAATATCAATATTCGTTTAAAAGCAAGAAACGCTCTCTGACGTTTAATACGTGTTTTGTGGATCTAGAACCACCACTTTTTATTACAATTGAAAAATAGTGAACATTCCTATTGTATCCAATAATTTTTCATTCTTATCCTGGCACTTGTCTTCAACTATTTTGTCTCCAGCAAATTGTTTAATAATGACTCTATAGTAGGGTTGTGATTTCGACCGGTCAAAATGTTTTGTGGTCAATTGACCAGTCAATTGACCGGTCAATTGACTAAGGACCGGTCAAATTCTTGAGTATTGTCTAACGAAATGAAGGCATTATTAACTGCATATAAACGTGTATTTATTGGAAAAGAGCTAAAAAACAAATGAAGAAATTATTCTGCCACACAAAAGAGAAAAAAATGAAAATGCATAATGTTAATTTAATTAACAATAGCTAAATGACCCAAAAATGAAAATAAATAAATCC